TTTTAACTTTTTAATGCTCGAAATTTACAAAAAAATATTTGAAAAAATAGAACAATATTACAGTACTGCTCGCAAAAATCGGTCAATGATTAATTGGCGTTCCAAATTCCAGCATTTTCCTCTATCTCAAAGTTTCTCCTTTCATTTGTACACTTCCTTTTTTGATGAATTAATTCGGGTAAAACTAATTTTTCCAAGTTAATCAATTAATTATCCTTCCTCATCCTTCATATCTAATTAAAAATTTTTTGCATTTATAAGTTTATAACTATGTAATTAATAAATAGTTATATATTAAAGATTAATAATAGCAACTCTTATTTCAAACTTTGAATTAATATTTTCAAGATATCGAACGACAATTTTCCTATTTATAAATCATTTAGTATGAAAGACAGTCATTCAAATTTAAAATGTGCCTATAAATACCTTTACATTACTACTTATAACAAAAGATTTAAAAAAGTTCAAAAGTTATTTCCATCTTTTAATCTTAGTTTGCTTACAGAAAATAAAGCCTATATTCTTTTTTTAATTTAATCATTAGATTAGTGCATATGAATATATTCAGACGAGTGAAAAATGATGCGGTCCGTTGAATTTTCTTAAAATTAATAGTGAGCATTTCAATCATTAGTCATTCTTTCAAAGAATAAAGCCCGCAGTTTTTTGGTTGTAAAATAAAATTTACAACAAGTTTTCATTTTAAAAAATACACATTGATAGCACAGACTATCAAAAATTGTCAATTTAATTAAAATTTTCGGAGTTTTACCTATCTTAAACCTTAATTTATTAAATTATTTGCCATCAAATACTAAATGATGTTCGATGCAAATTATGGTCAATAATTAAATAATAAGAAATAAAAACGAATGAAAGAAATTTTTTTAGCTTAAAATAAAATTTAATAATATTCTTCATTTGTTTATCTTTCTCAGTTTTAAATTTTCGATAATTTTCAAATTGCAAAAGTTTAGACATAAATGATGATGGCAAGAAATGATGAATAAGTGACTGTTGTTTTGAAATTTAAATCGCCTTTTTTTCGAAATTCAGTTGAAAATTAGTTGATGTACTGTAAAGTTGTTTGAAAATTAATTCCAAAATAATTAATAATGCTCAATTTTATTAATGCAGTTTCCATTTTGAGTTATAAATAATATCATAAATCTATAAAATATGAGTGAAATGACATTTCTATTTATTATTCATATATTGAAAGTATGACAAACCAAGTACAACGTAAATAGGCTTAGAATTCCAGCCTGCGGGACCCTTTAATATACAGCCAGTCGCGCCATTATATCTGTAATTTAGCCTTCGACAAAATATTTTTTAATCTTGAATTGGAAAACATAAACAAATATTGTACGCAAATTTTCATACTAACTTTTAACTTCATTTTTTTTTGACAAACAGAAAAACTCTTCAAGGAGAGATAGAGAGAGAGCGGGAGAGAAAGAGAGAAATATGGAAAAAAAGAAAAAATGAAGAGACAAGACTTCAAGGCCTTTTTGCGATCCTCATCTTTGTAATAAAGCCCATGTGCGCCAGGTATAACAGATTGTATGGCTGATAAAAGTATTGAATCATCATGTTCTAATGGGATGTTCACCGGTTCCAATTCAATACGAACCCATCCTAAAGAATATTCACATTAATCTTATCACTAACATTTTCATTAATTAAATAATATTTTCTTAGAATTTAGAAGTTGAACATTCGTTGTATTTTTATTTTTCCATGCAGTAAACCTAAAAACTTCTAGCAAAACGTGTAGAATTATGGATGTAGAAAAGAATTTTTCCGTGATTATGCCGTAATGAATTTATGCAAATGCTGTACTATCCAATTAAGTTCAAATGGCATAAGTTTATTTGAAATAGTTTACATGTTGATGAAATTAATACAGTTTGATTGAATGCTTTACCTGGTGGTGGTAGTGTGGAGTCCATGACTGGAGGAACGTCCATGGATCACTTTGAACCTAAAATATTTCATCATTAAAATTTTAATTTTTTAAATGAGTATGCATTTGCACAACGTATAATGAAATAATGCGCAAAATGATAGTATACAAATAGCGGATAAATGAGAATGAACAAAATGAGAGAACTATATTTGAGAATTTGAATTTGCCAAGAAACAATATCAATCTTCACCTCTCCACAACAGCTATTATTCTAAAATCTTTATTGTCTCCAAAAAAAAAAATTTTTACAAATAAGAATTTTATATTCTAAAAAATTATACAGTAATTGTAATTTTTGTAATATCCCGCAGTCACGTATCAGATTCAAGGGCACAGAATGTCTGTTAAATTTAAACTTCAGGTATCCAGTTCGATAATATACTTTCAGTAAATTTCCGATAGGAATAGAAGTGATAATTGCTAGTGTTAGTGAACTTTGTTAAGCTTTGAAGATGTCAATTGCAATTTTAAATCATAAAAAAATTCAATAGGGCAACTTGAATGATGTTGGGAATATCACTTCATTATTTTTTTTCTGTTATCACTAAATAATCAATCATTTTTTCAAATTAGATGTGGAAAATGTAGCATTTTTTTTAAACCATCAAATGGAAAAAGTGAAGAGGAAAGTGCAAAATAATTGATAATTATTAAAACTCATCAAAAGGCTATCATAAGGGGCATCATTTTTTGGACAATCATTTAGTTTTTATGAGAAATAAAATCTGTAAAGTGATTTCAATTGATTAATTGCAGAAAACTAATTTCTAGCATTACAGTTAAAGTCTCGTCAATTAGTGTAAGCTAAGCCAAACTTTTCCAAACTTCTGTTCAAAAAAGTTCAGTTTCTGTTCATTAAAAAAAGGACATAATGAATGGCATTGTAAGCAAATTCCTAAACATTTTGGCAATGGTAAAAGTTGATTTTATAATGACAAAGTAATACCTAACCTTTTGTTGGGGAGTATTTCGTACCAAAAGTTTTCCATTCTGCCGCCAAAGGTAAGTCAACAACACAAATAAAAAAAATGAACAGTTCAGAATGACTTGTCAACAAAAAAAAGCTAACAAACGATTGCAACTTTTCCTTTTTTTATTAATTTTTTAATATAAAAAAAATAGATTGTTTTTAAAATGAAATTAGCGTGTGCATATAATACACTAATTTCACTTAAAAATTGATATAAAATATTAAGCTCATTTTTAGCATTTTGCAATGATTGAAAAACATTTCAATTATCCGAAGATATTGAATAATTAATCAAAAAAGCGATTCGTTAAATAGTTGAATAAAAGAAAGTATTTCATTATATTTCATTATATTTCATTAATGGAATTTAAATTGATAAAGTTGATTAAATTATATACAACATAATATAAATAGTGAAATAGTTCAAGAAATCTTATTGGATCCACTAAGCAATTTTTCTAAATTAAAGCATATTGATGCTTGGATATCATAAAATGCGATTATTTTGGAAAAAGAATTATTGTTTCAATCGTGAAAGAATATTGGTTTAGGCCATCTTATTTACCGATCAGGTCATTTTCTCTAACCATTGATCACTTAAAATTCCACTTACTTGGCTCACAACATACATAATAACAAAGCATTTCATTTTTTAATCATTGCTACAATTCAAATCATTATTGTGATAATGATAATGTTATTGAGTACAGTTATTCTTACCGTAAATTATCTTCTTTTCATTGATAAGCTAATTATACTGATTTCACATGTAAATCACTTTTTTTGCAGTTTTATTTGATTTTAATAAATAAAAATAAAAAAGAAATTAAAAGTGGGGGCGGTAATTGCACCACCAAACATTAACTTCATACAAATGATGATAATGTCATAATGGAAAGAAACGAAACCATTCAGCAAAAAAAGCTTTCAGTTTTGTACTGTCCAATTAATCAAATATATTTTTTATCAGTTTTTTTTCTTCTTCATTTGTGGAAACAAATTATTGTAACCTTAACAATTGTTTGCTGAAGATAAAAAAGTGATTGAAAATTTTTCATTTGTCAATTTTTCTCTGGTCTGCCAGATATTAGTGTGTGGTAGGACGTGGAAAACGAGTTTTCTAAAGAACTCTAATTTAAGTAATAATTGCAAACTCAAATACCACCATCATAGATTTTTGTAAATGGAGGAGATAAAATTTACTTTAAATCAAAAATTTTAATCAATTTGTGCGAACTATTTCGTTTTAATATTCAAAAGTATTCATTATGAATGGTCGAAGTGATATGTTATGATTGAATAAAAGAAATGCTATAGAAACAAGCAGAAATTAATGAGATATAGAAAGATATTGTCTATTGGAGTGGAGTATATTTCCGCCCGGTATTGCTTAAATGTTACATCAGCAATTCATCAGAAAGCATTTGTCAGTTGGTTGTTTAAAATGAGAGGTAATTTAATTTCATCAGTTCAGCATATTGAACAGCTGTGGTATATCCGTTCGTAAAACGTCAACCTTATTTTTTCATAATTATAAATTTCAAAATTACATTTCCTCTTACAATCCTTTCAAGTAAAAATTTTAGAAATAGTTAAGACAAATTTAAATATATTTTGTTGACATAAAATGACATAAGAAATGAAATGTAAATGATAATGCATAAAAGAAATGAAAATGATAATGCATATAAAGCAACAATTTTTAAAACAGTTTTCATTTCAAAAAAAGGACAGGGCAATTTATATTTTGTTGAGGATTGAAAATTACACGAGAAATAAATTCTTAGAAAGTTTTTTTTTGGAACTATTCTGTATCATAATGAAGTTTAATTGATTACAAGACATTTATTTATTGGAATTTTTTCTCATCATAGCTTCTTTTTTTGCTATAAGAAATTGAAAAATGATGACAAATGTTGATTCTCGTTTTTTAAACAATACATGGTGAATCAATAAACTGTTTACTTACCGCATGTATTTAAAACATAAAAGTTAAAGAATAACCGCTAACTTCATAAATGATAAGTTTACTTTATTGCTAAACAATTAGCAGTAGAAAATTAAAAATGAATAAAGAGTTTAAAAATATCTTGCATTTAGTGACAGAACCATAAAAGTCAATATGAAAGTAATGTGAAAGATACGGGTAGAATGTTGCACATTATTTTCATGAAATTAATATAACCTTTGAGCTTTTCATGCATAATTGGAGTAATTGTTACTGCGGCTGTGTTTTATAATTATATTTTAAAAATTGAAAATAAATTCTATATGAACAAATAATAAAAAAATTCTTATTTATTTTAGTGAGCAAACTGAAGATGTTAAAATTTCCAAAAAAATATAATTTTTCCAAAGTTTTTTTTCATTTTTTACTTAAATTTGAAACTACCACTTATTTAATTTATAATTCAGTCTATAATAATCAAAAAGTTTAAAGTGAGAAATCACCATTTATCACCAAAATTTTTTTCACCATCCTTTTTAACCTTATCTTTCCTTTCTCTCAATCATTCATTTCTTTTTAATAAAATTTCTTTCCATAATTTCTTATCATAAAATCTGAATGGTAAAATACAATTAATTTTAACTTATCATATAAATGTAATTATCAACGTATCAAACTCATCGATACCTTTAGAATATTTAATGAGTATTTTTCCATCCATCAAACACGATAAAACCATTCGGCCTATTCTAATTTTCTTTTATTCTACCTTAATCTTTCTCACTGTATAAAAAAGAAAAAAAGCAATTATTCCATATATTTATTGTTCGCGGAGATATATTAACTTTTAATGAAGGTAAGAGAATTTTATAGCTACTTATCACTCTTAACATCTTTATCACTGTTACAGATATCATTAATATCAAATAAAATGGAAAATTATTCAATTCATTTAACTTAACGGATAATACGAAAAAATTTTATAATTTTGGAAAATAAATTGAAAATTATGCTGCTGTGTTGAATAAATGCACCATGGTATCACTTTTCCACATTTCTATTTTCATATTTGATATTAAATTGAATAAATATAATAACTGCTAATGCAATGTTACTAAAAGTATCTAAAAAAACTACTATGGAGAAAAAATATTATGAAAAGAATAATTTTTGTATTTCAATTTTGTGAAATTATTAAAACGAAATTAAAAATTTTTTAATTTAAACATATTTTTTGTTGCACTAAATTTTAGAGCAATTTTAAAAGAGAACGAAGTAAGGAGAAAATCAAGTGATGTCTGAGAAATATACAATGCAATAAATTTTTCCGCTAAAAAGAAGAACGAAAAATTTTGCAAAATAAGACAGACTCACTTATTTGAAATTTATGGGTAAATAACCATCGTTGATAAAGACTGAAAGGACATAATAACTAATATATCAAAAATTAGAAAATAAAGTCCAGAATAAATTCAAAACATCAATAAGCGTTTCAAATATGGACAAATGAAAAAGTATAACAAATATTTTAAGCAACTATTTTGACTTCGGGCAATCGTTTTACGCATGAAAAACGTAAAACGACTGCCCGAAGTCAAAATAGTTGCTTAAAATAGAGAATGCAAAAAAATGCAAAAACTTTAGCCTTTGTCGCGTATATTTAATCAAAGAAATTAAATTTTATCTTCTTAAAAATGAATGAAACAATTAAAATAGTTACTTTTCTTTCATTAATCTAAATAAATATATCTTATATAAACATAAAAATTTTTGAATTTAATTAATCAATAAATTATAAAGATCGATTAATTATAAATATAATTTACCTTGATTAGATTCCAGTAATCGTCACTTAATAATCCAAACTTCTGAGAGGTTTTTTTCGTGAAATTGAAAAACTAATCAATAAAATCTCTCATTAAATTGACTGAAACTTCTATAATAAGCTATCACTAGCAAACTGAGCACATTTTAATCTTCCAATGTAATCAAACATTCCGCAATCACATATTGTTAAATGTGAGAAAATCAATTAAATAAGAAATAAAATTCGCTAACAACATTTTATTTCACATTGAGTTAA